GCCAAGTGAAAACAATTTTTAAAAATATTAGAAGAAAATGTAGAAAAAGCCTTCTTAAGCAAGACACAAAATAAAGAATCCCAAAAAAGGAAAAGACTGACATATTGACCTATATTCATGTTTAAATGTTCTGAAAGACAAAAATAGGTAAGACGTAGGATACAGGCCAGGTAATGTACTTGCAATGTATAAATATATATGAGTATATTTTTAACCAGTAAGGCATCTAATAAGGACATAAGCAAAGACATTCAATTAAAAAATACAAATGGCTCATACAGGCCTGCATTCACCAGTGGGGGATTGGAGCGAAGGGCAATTAGGAAGCATCTAACAAAATTTAAAAACCATGTTTCCTTCAATGCAACGACTGTACTTCCACTTAGCTCTTTTCAGAGAATGTGCAGGATGTACAGAAAGAATGGTATACAAAGATGTTTCATCAGTTTACAATAATGAAAATGGAAAGGCAGGAATGTTCACAGCCCAAGGCTAAATAGATTAGGATGCATCACAGAACAGTAACAGTTAACCTTACTACTAGGAAAGTTCTGTGTTGCATCACTGAGTGACAAAGTAGGTGAATGCGTTGTGTGTATACTTTTGTGCACTGTGGTCCTATATTTTTAAAAACTCATAAAACAAAATTGCAGTTTGTTGTTTAGATTCGTGTAAGGGAACACATAGAAAAAACTTACAGGGGTGCACACCAAATGGGCTAAGAACATTTCTTGGTGTTTCCTTTTTAGAGTGTGATTGGGTTTAAGACACCTACAGGTACCCCCATCTGCACTCTGCTCTTTGACTGAGTTCATTCATGGAAAAGAACTCCTTGGACACAAGGTGCTGCTCATGCAATTGAAATTAGATTATAAACGAAGTAAGAATGCATGTGAGGTACTTTGTGACCACTCATTCTACTAATTTTCTGGCAAAATGTGACTTTCATCGATTATGTGGTTACTCTTAAACTCTGCAATACACACCGTTCTGCAAGTACACCTGGCCCACTGTGATTGAGCTTGCTCTTTGTTTATAAAGGTACTCTTTTGTAATATTTGAACAAAATCTTCCTATTTTATGCCATTTGATGATTCCTTGCCTATTTAAGGGGCTTTCTCTCTCTCTCTCTCTCTCTCTCTCTCTCTCTCTCTCTCTCTCTCTCTCTTTTGGTCTTTTTTTTTCATTTTTCTTTTTTGGTATGGGGAATCGAACCCAGGGCCTCATGCTTGCCAGGCAGGTGCTGCACCACTGAGCTACATCCCTGGCCCTTCCTTGCCTATTTAAAAGCACTCATTGCTTTCAAACATTTTGATCAATATTTACTCTGAAATGCCAGAGTACATTGATAAAAATATCAAAATGCTAAAACTGAAGTCCTTTTTACTAGAAAGTAAAAATAATATATCTGTATATATATATATATATATATATAACCTATATACATATAGCTATACACTAGGTCCAGTAGAATGGATTAAAATTTCTTCCAAATGTTATCAAGTTTCTAGCTTTAACAATATGTTACTTTCACATTTTAAAAAACAACATAATAATAATGTAAGGCAAGTTTGTGGAAAACATTATCTTCATTTTACACTCTAGTAAATTCAGGCTCAACCAACATCAAATTAACTAAGATTAAGTCCAGGGCTCAAGTTTTCCAGCTTTCCATCTGTTTTTTCCTCCCTTTATATAGCTGTCTCCTACAAACTACCTATGCTTTTTTAAATCTCCCATCAGTGCTGTCTAACATGGGAAAGTTTACTTCTGGGCATTATAAGCAGCACTTAGTAGACCGACAATGGAATAATATAGCGTAAGTAATTTTGTAAAATTCAACATAGAAAAGGAGAAATTTAATACAATGATAAATGTATTTGAATTGTGGATGAGAAGAGTCCCGTGCATAGAAGGTGAAACTTGCAAAACTAAAATTTGGTCTATCACAAAATAAACACCCTTTGGTATTTTAGAGAGAGATTGTCCACAGTTTCATTTTAAAAATGGACAGCCTATTAGTTTTTTTCATTTAAAAATGGATTCTAAGTATTAAGCTATAGTCTAAAGGAATTGTCATATATTAATTTTCAGTGTTTCACCTGAGACTTACGAAGGTGTATATTATTCTTATATAAAATAAAAATAATTTTCCAAAATGTTTTTGCCATATATTTTATTTAGACTTTAAGAAAACATCTCACATACCAGTGTATGTTAAAGTTGTCGGGATGCATTTTAAAACTGCACAAATGGATTTAGGTATTAAAAATTCACTTGTCCTATGATACCCTTCACTATAGCATACAGCTCCATAAGCCAGTTGAATCCTATAAAATTGCAAGCGACTACACTCATGTCTGTTGCTTTACCTGGGGCAGCTGATCCAAAAAGAAAAAAAAAAAAAGTCAGAGGGGCTGTTACAGCTGATTGCTGCGTTTGTCCTGGCTCATGGAGACCATAAAAGAGTACGTGGCCCATTCGTCCCGAGCACTGTGAGTAGATGCGTTTCTGTTGTGTTTGCTGAGCGAAGCCCGCCCGGAAGGACAGCGTCAGGGAGAAGAGGCGAGCTCCGTGGCCTCACGCTGTATGATAAAACAGCGCTGTGGACGACAGGCAGCGTCGTGAAATTAATGATACAACCTGTGTATCTGCCTGGTGTGCAAATGTAAACCTAATTTCCTTTCTGCTTTGAACGGTGCTGCTGCCTGGTTTGCTGTGGAGGACAGGCGCAGAGAGCAGACTTGAAAAGGGTGTGATTAGTACTGGGGGAATCGGGGGCCTTGTAAAAAGAGGATGCTTAGACGGGCCGCCACTCCATCCCTGGCCCGCCAGCTTCCGAGGAGAGGAGAAGAGGATGAGCGGTGGTGGTACAGTGCTCGGATGTGGGGATATCCACTCTTGCTCTCGGGCCGACGAAAGCTGTGCCGAGGCGAAGGGCCCAAAGCGAGAGAGCGGGTCGCT